ACCAATAACAAGTAATTGAAGAAAGAATATAGGGAAATGTTCCCATTCACAATTGCTGCAAAAAATTAAAATATCTTAGAATAAATCTAATGAAAGTCACCAAATATCTCTACAATGAAAAATTTGAGATATTTTATTGTTTTTAATTTTTGTATGTGTATGAGTGTATTGCCTGCATGTATGTAAGTGAACCCATGTCATGCAATGACTGGGGAGGACAGAAGAGGGTGTCAGATCCCCTGGAAGTGGAGTTATGGATGGTTGTTAGCCATCCGTGGGTGCTGGGGTGCTGTGGGTGCTGAGACTGGAACCCAGATTCTCTGGAAGAACAGCAAGTGCTCTTAACTGCTGAGCCATCTCTCTAGCTTCTAATTGGCAATTCAAAAGGGCTGCGATCTCAAGAATTTTTATCTTTTATAAATGTAGATGTATAAAAAAAGGATTTCTCTTCAATTATGAGGAAGCATCAACATGTTTATGTAACTAGGCTACTTTGTGATAATGCACTTTCACAGAGTCCAGTTTGTAAATGTTAGTAATAAGCGTACAATGAATTAGAACTATCAATACATATTGGCATAATGTATGACATACCACCAGTACTGGAACCAATATGAAGTTGAAATATGTGGTATAACAAATTATGAAATGCATGATGCCAATTTAAAATAATGGAAAACACCAAAACATTCAACATATGAAAAAGTATATTATATGGGTAGATTATGAACAGTTGCAAAGAGGTTATCTATTCAAGCAGGCTGACCTTTTCAAACATTAACTATATTTTGATATCTTGCATCCTTGTTGTTGGATTTTTTTCCCCCACTTAAGCCATAGAGACTCACACAGTCTCTCCTGGAAGCTCCCTCAGTCACCCCCCCCAGAAATGCATGATCAGGTTTCTAGGCATCCACCCACTTAACTATCCCTGTGCAGCTGAAAGTACACTGGTTTCTCCCTCAGCAGTTCAGCTCTCAACTCCTCATATATAACCATTTTTATCTAATAGGAGCTGTGGTTTAGGGGATATATATTTTCAGGTTTCAGCATTTGGCCTTTTAACCCTTGTGATTTTGTTTTTTTCCTGGGATTCTCACTTTTGGAATGTTGGTATCTGGGACTGTAACCTTCAGAACTATGTCCAGCCCCGAGTTTACACAAATGAATACTCCTCTCCCCGCTCCTCCAGCTGGCCGTATTTACAATGTAACAGAGGTCCTTCCAATCTTATGCTGGGCCTTTGAGCAAGATCAAGCTGTCAGAATAAGGATTTCAGGATGGAGAGTCCTTCCCAGGGGTTGATTCTATTTATATAGTCTCTCAAATACTGCAGATACAGTCTGAATTCAGTTCCCTCATTTTACCACTCATCTGGGAAGCCCATATTCTCTGAGGTATCACCTCAGGGAAAATGATATTGATTCTGTTTTACAGAAGAGGATGAAGTAAGGAAATTGGGTCAGACTACAGTGACCGTTATTCAGTACACAAATCATGAGATGTCGAAGTGGCTCTTTGTGGTTCTCCCATCCAACTTTTCACAGAGTAGAGCATCCTGACTAGGCTGGTTTTTGTCATGTTGCTGGATGGTTCACCGTGGTCAGTGAGCTTCACTTCACCACCAGAAGTGGTGTTTCCCGAGTGCCAGGCTAAAGGTGTACTCTGTAACTTGCTTTAATTTGTCCTACTTTTTGTTCTCGGTAGCTACATAGAATAAGTCCAGCCATAGATTGGTAGATTGACCTATCCATTAATTTACTCATTTTGTATTGAATGCCTAGTAAGTACTGTGTAGAGTGCCAGCTATGAGCCTTGAACTCCAGGAGCTGAAAAATTATTATGATGTAGCCTGGACATATGTAAACATAAGTCATACAATGTCCCATGAGCACTATAAATCCTGTATTAGAATGAGGAGGAAGAACAGGATGGTGTGGTTCTACAGACATCATCCATGCTCTTGTCTAAATCTTTGTGTCTCTCAAAAATGTATACATTGTAATTATAACTAATATGGTGATATTTGGAGGACAGTAGGTCATGAGTGTCAGTGCCCCTATTAAAGAGGCCCCTCAGAGACCCCTCACTAGGCTAGGTTGGAGGACCCACAGGTATTTGTGATCCATCTGCCTCCTCTCTCCCCAGCAGCACTCTGGTCACAGGTACAAGCCACTGGCAAGGTGTCCATGTTCCTATAAACAACCTCTCACCCAAGGTCTTATAAGCAGCTCTAATGAAGTTCATTGGATCAGGTAAAATGAGCATGAATGTAGAAGGGGGGGTCAGCTGGGAAGAAGATCAGCAGCAGGGGAGGCGGCAAGAGATGGTTGTGGAGGGTGAATACATTTCGTACATGTATGAACAAGAAAGCCGGGCAGGTAGCCCAGCCAGTAAAGTTCAATTCCTAGAACCCACATAAAAAAGGCATGGTGGTGCCTGTAATCCCAGTGCTGGAGAGGCAGAGACAGGAGGCCTTCTGGGGCTGGATGGTCAGCCAGTCTAACCTAATTAGTAAGGTTCAGGCCAATGAGAGACCCTGTCTCAAAGGAGGGGAATGGTATTCCTGAGGATGATTTCTGAGGTTGTCTACAGCCTCCATACTCACATACACAAATGTGCATGCACACCCACGCATGTGTACCTGCATACATAAGAATACACATATACACTTGTGCACACACACATTTAAAAAAGACTAGTACAGTGTGTATTAAGATATTAATTATTAAGAACAGAAATGGAAAGAAATTAAGCAGAGTAAGGCTAGTGATTAGTATTAAAGCAATAGAGAAAAAAACAGAAGAGGGGCTGGAGAGATGGTTCAGTGGTTAAGAACACTGGCTTCTCTTGCAGAGGACCCAGGTTCGATTCCCAGCACCCACATAGGGGATGACAACCATCCATAACTTCAGTTCCAGGGGATCTAATGCCCTCTTCTGACCTCCACGGGCATTGCATGACACAGGTGCACTTACACACATGCAGGCAATACACTCATATACATAAAATAAAATAATAAATAAAATACTAAAAAAAGAGTATCACCTATTTAAAAATAGAAGAGAGAAAATAGAGAAACAAAAAGAGAGATAAAGGCAGACCAAAATGAGAAAAGGGTAGAGAAATGCAAGCATACTCTGAAATAATCTCAGCACTCGAGAGACTGAGGCGGGGAGACCGACCAACCTACCCTCTCAAGGCTGGGACAATCTGTGCTCTTTCTGTGTCCTTTGGGAGAACTTATGTAAGGGGGGCAAGATATGATGCAATGTAAATAAAATTGAAATTCAGTATTAAGTGCCCCCCCCACCAGTTACTCACCTGAGCACAGGCGCAGAGCCTGTTTCCATACCATCTTACCGTTCTTTCTCTGGCTGTTTGGACTGGTGTCATCTGATAAGAGTAGAACCTTTGTGGTATTAAGCTTCCTGTGTTGATCTTTGTGTGATTTGCCCCACAACCAGAATATGTGATTTGTAGGCTGGGCAGTTGCATCTTATAACTAAGGGTGGCTTTTGGTCTTTAGGTACTTGACAGGGGTGGCATGGCTGTGCTTTCGACCCTGGCACTCTCAAACTGTTTGCCTGGCTTGTCCTTCTGGGAAGCTTGTGAGTCTCATTCTGATCTGGAGCTCAGATCAGATCTCCACCATGTGGAACACTGTGTGGTTCTGACTCAGAGATTTTCCACTGTAGCTGGAGGTGTTCTGTATGCCCATCTTGATTACCTTTATAAGACGTGGTGATTTAGTCTGGCAAATTCTTCCAGTGTGTCTAGGATTTTTGTACTGTACATGCTGTGTGTTCATGTGTGCATGTTTATATGTGTGTGGTATGTTTGTATGTAGGCATTGAGAATATAGGGCTTAATTTATAAAATTGTTGTAAGAATTAGACAAAAATACATAGCTTGGCATACAGTAAATCCTTCTTCAACATTGATCTGCTTTTCCTTTGGCAATGTTTAGCAGAAAAGAAAAAAATGATAGCATTTTCTTGTTCCTCTCATAATTAAAATTTAAAAATTTTTTATCAATGTGTGTGTGTGTGTGTGTGTGTGTGTGTGTGACCATACCATAGTATACATGTGGAAGTCAGTGGACAACCTATGGTAAACAGTTATGTCCTTCTACCTTGTGGGTCCTGGGGACCTAATTCCATTCTTCAGGCTTGGTGGCAACTGTTTTCACCCACTGAACCACCTCAGTGGCCCTTTTCCTCATAATGAATTCCTTTGGGGGGGTCTGGAATGAAGGGACAATAAAAACATTCCATAGACTCAACCCAGGACCCAGGTACATGTTTTGCCCTTAGCACCAACAGGAAGGAATTTCCATTGCGATGTTTTAGGCGTCACTGGAAAGCATGTAATGGCAGAGAAGACGTGAATGAGGAGAGAAACACAGTGAGGGGAGACCTGGAGAAATAGAGATGCGTGCCATTAAGGTGATGCCACTTTGAGATGAGGCCCCAGACTAGGAGACCTTTTATCTTAGTATCTCAAAAAAATGGGTGGGGTCAATCTGCAAGGAGCAGGAGCCCAGGATTAAAGGACAGGCTATAGTGTCTTTTGAAGCTCCTCCCAGATCTGTAAGCCTCCAAGAGCAGCTGATTCCTAGCTGCCTACACTACTGATCATTTACAAACATGGATTCACTCCCATCTCTGCTTCAACTTCAAGGGCCATTAAGAATGTAGATGTGAGGAGACTTTCCTTTTTAATAAAACTGAGTCAAATGAAATCTGTTTGTATTTAGGTACCAGATGCTGAAAATCAGTTTTCTAGCTTCTGGGATTTGTTCTCATAATGAGCTGCTAGGGTCTGCTGCCTGGAGATAGCAGAGTTGAGGACTACCAAGTAAATAAGGAATAAGGTGCTCCCAGGTCTTGAGGAGAAAGGATTCTGTGTCTTGCCAAAATGGGCTAGCTGTTAGATCAGGCAGGAGAGAGACCTACAGCCTGGAGCCTACTCACAGTCTATCGTTGTATTGTCGGCAGGTGTGGCAGCTGTTTCCAGTGCCCTGGACCAATCTTTTTCTTCGACACTAAGAGATGGAGAAGGAGCATGTTACACATCTCTGATTTCTGACGTCGGTTACCCACTTCAGGAGGACTCTACGTACTTTACTGGAATTCTTCAGAAGGAAAATGGTCATATCACCTCTTCAGAGAGCCCTGAGGAGCTGGGGACCCCTGGATCCTCCTTACCAGAAGTGCCTGGGATGGAGCCACATGGCTTATTGAGTTCTGATTCTGGAATAGAAATGACACCTGCCGAGTCCACAGAAGTGAACAAGATCCTAGCTGACCCCCTGGACCAGATGAAAGCAGAAACCTACAAATACATTGACATAACAAGGCCAGAGGAGGTAAAAGGTCAGGAGCAGCATCACCCTGGCCTGGAAGATAAATCTTTGGATTTTAAGAACAAGGACACTGACATCTCCACAAAACCAGAAGGGGTTCATGCACCTGATAAACCAGCTCCTGTGGAGGGGAAGATCATCAAGGATCACTTATTCGAAGAATCTACCTTTGCTCCTTACATAGATGAGCTCTCTGAGGAGCAGCACAGGGCACCTCTGGTCACTGCCCCTGTCAAGATAACACTAACAGAGATCGAACCTTCTGTCACAACTACTACCCACGAGAAAACCCCCGAGAACCAAGACCTCTGCCTGAAACCAAGTCCCGACTCAGTCCCTACCGTCACCGTCTCAGAGCCTGAAGATGACAGTCCAGGATCTGTCACTCCTCCATCTTCTGGAACAGGTAATTCTCCATGTTGGGAAAACCCAGCCTGTGGAAATCTGAAGCCCCAAAGCAGTAGAGGATGAAGACTTGCATCTGGGATGCTTGACTCTGTGGACCCCCTCAATCCCACTTAGTTTAACTGATTTAATTAATATGTAGCTGTTTCAGGCCTGTGCCAGAGTCACACAGGTTGTGTTCTGGGATTTCCCTTGAAGACCTACTGGATTTTCTTTGTCAAACGTTTTTTTTTTTGTTTTTTTTTTTTTTTTTTTTTTTTTTTTTTTCTTTATTTGATGGAGGAAGGTAAGGGTGACACAATGAAAACATCGACACCCTTCTGTGGCCCTGGAGCTCAGAGTAGGGAGGTGCCAACTACCTGGAGGTTAGCTCTGTTCCGAGTTCACTGGGTCTCTTGGAGGCATCATGGGGAGAGCACCCCATGGCTGAGTCACCTTGTCCAAGGTATACGACATATCTGATTCCAGCTCTATATCTGTGTAACAGAAGGAGAGGGAGTGGGGGGTGGAGTTTAGGTATAGGAGACTGTGGTATGGTGATGAGGAAATGCTGATGGCTCTGAGCAGGGCAGAGGGACCAGGGGGCAGAGGAACAGAGGACAGAGGGCACAGGCTATGTAGACACCTGAAGCAAATGTACCAGGCTGCAGGGACAGCCAACGGAAGACTTTCTCCTAGGACCTTCTATGTGCTCAAGGGAGGCTAGTGTGGCTATAACATGGGGAAGGGAGGGAAGAATGGTGGGTTCAGGTTGGCAGTGTCAAATGATTGATCTGTATGTTTCATAGAAAAAAGCCAGGAACAAAGGGAGGATCTAAAAGGCAGTTGGGCACCAGAAGCAACTGGGTAAAATAGCCTTTCCTCTCCCTTTAGGGCATCATACCTGCAGCAATAAACATGTTACCTCTGAAGGCACAGGTCTAGTCTTCTAGGTATTCATATTCTATTTGTTGCCTAAATCGATTATTTCTACTTGTATACTGTGCATCTAGACACATAATAACCAACATTATAGCTTGAGGCCTATAGAGTTGTAAAGATAAGAAAAAAAATATTTTATCCTAGAAAGTTCCCTGGTTCCAAGCATTAGCATTTTAATAATTTTTTAGTTCCTATGAAGAATGATAGATGTTGTCTAGAAGAGCTACAGAGCCCCTTTTGAATTAATCAGAACAGATTGCTTTTTTTATTAACGTTTTAAATATATTAGTTTTTTTATTTTATGTGTATGCGTGTATTGCCTGCATGTAGGTAAGTGCACCTGTGTTGTACAATGCCCACGGATGTCAGAAGAGGCTGTCAGATCCCCTGGGACTGGAGTTACAGACAGTTGTTAGCTGCCATGTGGGTGCTGGGATTCGAACACCTGTGTTGTACAATGCCCACGGATGTCAGAAGAGGCTGTCAGATCCCCTGGGACTGGAGTTACAGACAGTTGTTAGCTGCCATGTGGGTGCTGGGATTCGAACCCGGGTCTTCTGCAAGAACAACCAGTGTTCTTAATCACTGAGCCATCTCTCCAGCCCCAGATTGATTTTAAGATCACACTTTGGTTTGTCCAAGATGGAACTCAGTAGGCCCTTTCCCCATGTTCACCTAGCATCCTTTCACTTGAGTAAATAAAGATCCTTGTGAAGGCTCCAACACAATAGTTCTTAACCAGAAATTGGGTTGCCAAATAGTTTACAAGTATTTCACAGAACATTTCTAAAAGTCTACTGTTTAGCTGAGATTCAAATTTAACTGAATGTCTTGATTTTTATTTGCTAAATATAACAGCCTGGCTGGAAGGAGAACCCTAGCTGTTGGAGTCACATGCAGAGTTTAAAAATGCAGGTGTCTGGGCTCTGTCCAGACTGACTTCTGCTAAGTTGGAATTTCTGAGGGTAATTTTTCTGAGCTACATACCTGGTTACAAGCAGCACTGTTCTGGGGCTGGGGAGATTGCTCAGTGGGTGGTGTTTGCCATATAGGTATAAGGAACAGAGTTCGGAGCCCCAGAACCCAGATAAATGCCGGGGGACACACCAGCTCACCTGTAATCCCAGTGCTGAGGGTGGGGACCAGAGACAGGGGATCCCAGTACTAGGGGTGGGGAGCAGAGATAGGGGATCCTGGGAACAGCTGGCTACCTAGTCTAGCTGAATTGGTGTTCTCTGGGTTCCAGTCAGAGATCTTGCCTCAATATATAAGGAGAGTGATGGAGGAAGACACCACCATCAACTTTTGGCCTCTACATGCACATACATGCACACAAGAACACATACCACACATAAATTTAAAAAATAAACACTTGTAAAAATACGAGGCAACTCTCACAAGAATGCAGCTTCTACCTCCTGTGTGCCAGGTACTGAAGAAGCTGCCAGGGCAGTGACAGTGAACACATATTCCTTGGCGTTTCTTTCTCTTCTGGATGCTTTCTCTCTGGGGTCATTGAGAGCGGAGTGTAGGGGTGAAGAAAAACACTAATCAGGTCATCACACTACCCCAGGCACTCCCACCTATCTCCTAAAGGATGCAGTACCAGGCCAGATGGCACACTAAACAAGCAGGAGCTGGGCCATTCCCAGCAGCTTGAATAGTCACGGGCTTTCTGCATAAGAAAGCACCAGGTGTGCCATAGGAAAGGAAGACCACCCCACTGTCCATCTGACCAGCTCATTACTGACTTCCGTGCTTCTCACTGTGCCGTGCTTGTTCACTTACACACACAGGCTCAGCATTTTGAGGGACTGTTGACATCTTTTTTCCCTCTCACTCACCACATCAATTAGATCCTGGGTCTTGTTTCTCTCTCTTCAGTGTCTTTTGAACTTTCTTTTCTATCCGTGGTCGTCCACACTCATTGAGTTGTCCCTCAGTTCTACTCTTAATGACTGTAGTGTGCTCTTATCAGATCCTTCTGCTTTCTCTCTTAAATTTATCCTTTCCGTCCCAGCATCCATCAGTGCCAGATAAAACAATGACTTTCAGACTACGTTTTAGAGCTTTCCAGGGCCAGTCACATTACCTGTTACCTTTCCCTGCAACACTCCAATTGAACTTTTGAAGTAACCGTTTCCTGTTCCACATTGGCATCTTTGCTCAGGGGGCTTACCTTGGACAATGTCAGCTGGTCATGGCTCTATTTGTATTTTCAGATCAATTCAAATGCACTTCCTCTAAGTTCCTCTGCAACTTTGTATCTATCAGCTTTGTTCTTCTGCATGTGATTGTCCAATCATTTTCCCCCTGTTACTTTCCAAACTATAACTGGCCCTTTCTCAGACTTTACTTCCTTTTTTAAATAGGGAAAGCATAGCGCACAGGTGAGAGTGAGACACATTTTCAAGCCACATTGGTAAAGATCCTACCATGAAACCAGCAACATATTCAAAGGTTGTAACTGAAGAGTTTCAAAGAGCTATTTATATATGTGGAAAGATGGTGAGACCTTAAGCCAAGGGAGCTATTACCACCCTCAGATCTAACAGAGTAGGGAGAGGGGACAACATCCAGAAGCCCACTAAGAACAGGAACTTCCAAAGTAACAGTGAGTATAAACATCCCAACATCTCCCTTTGCTAAGTCTTTCCTATTGGCTTAAAATAACCAGAAACCAGAAGGGAAGCGGTCCTGACTAAGGTACAGAACAGGGTACAAATGTACAAAATAAGGGGAATGGACCAAAAGGGGCAAAGAGAGAAAAACTAATAGAATATGTTAGACAGTTGCTTAAACTATTGTCACTAGCCTGAAGCTCCACAAGTAAAGAGCGTGTCCCCCAGAGGATGCTAGCGGATGGGTCTGTGACAAGGGATCAGATGCCCTCTTCTGGCCTCTGCAGTCTTTGCATGATACGGGTTCACTTGCATGTAGACAAAATACTCATACACATAAAGTAAAAATAAATAAATACAAAAATTTTTTTAAATGAATAAAATTTTAAGTAAAAATATTCTTATGGGAAATTTAAATCTCAGAAATCTAGTTATAAATGCTCCCAAAGGCCTCTGACCAAGCAAGGAACAGAGAGTGACTTTCTGATTTCTTGATATTTGTGGGATCAATTGGGATCTGTGTCTAGTAGATTATCTGGTGAAGTCTGTGAAACTGTAAAACTTCCCTTGAGGGAATCAGAAATTAAAACGACTTCTAAAATTTTTGCTGCACTGAAACAGAAAAGCCAGCCAAGGTTCTGTTGCTAAGAAGTGGCTAGGTCATTTTTTAAATAGCTAGATCAAGATGGCTAGGTATGCAAAACACTGACTGATTGGGCCACAACAGTAATAAGCCTTTTATTTCAGGTGGCCTGTCTTTCCAGCAGAGCCCTAGAAACAGACTATTTCTGTGCTAATGAGATGTATGTTTCTCAAGCAACGACAAAACGTCTCCCTTAATGGAATTTTGTTTTATTTTGTCTTTCTGTGTCCATCTGTCTGTCCGTGTGTGTGCTTCTCTGGCTCCTCTTCACTCTGTGGGATGACAGAACCATCTGCCGCAGAGTCCCAGGGGAAATGCAGCGTCTCCGAGGACGAGCTGATTGCAGCCATTAAAGAAGCAAAGGGATTATCGTATGAAACCACCGAGAGCCCTCGGCAGGCGGGACATGCGGCCGACAGACCCAAGGCCAAGGCCAGGTCTGGATTACCCACCATCCCCAGCCCCCTGGACCACGAGGCCAGCAGCGCGGAGTCAGGAGACTCGGAGATTGAGCTGGTGTCAGAGGACCCCATGGCATCAGAGGATGCGCTGCCCACGGGCTATGTGACCTTCGGCCACGTGGCCGGTCCACCGCCGTCGCCCGCCTCACCGTCCATTCAGTACAGCATCCTGCGGGAGGAGCGCGAGGCCGAGCTGGACAGCGAGCTCATCATCGAGTCCTGCGACGCCTCCTCCGCCTCGGAGGAGAGCCCCAAGCGCGAGCAGGACTCGCCCCCGATGAAGCCAGGCGCCCTGGACGCCATCCGGGAGGAGGCCGGTGCGCGGGCAGAGGAGAGCACGCCCAGCGCGCCGGCACGGGTCCTCAGTTTCCCCTCCGATGTTCCCCAAACCCGCCCCGAGTCGCCCTCCGGAGACGGAGCCCCGGCGCCGGAGCAGCCCACGTCGCAGCAGCCTGCCCAGGAAGCAGGGCGCTCCAGCCCAAATCCCGCTGCCACGGAGGGCCCCGCGCTGCTTAGTCCAGGTTTCGCCCAGGCTCTGCTTTTCTTCAACAAGCAAAAAGGTAAAGTCACAGTTTTTCTGATCCAGCAGGTTGCCCCGTTAGCATTCTCCCTGGATGGTCTGAGGGAGGGAAGCCCTCTGGGCCAAACCTAAAGTTGTCACCATGCTGGATATACAGCTGGACAGAGATCAATTCCAAGTGGGTGGAAGGAGGAAAGAGTCCCGATTAAAAGCTGGACAAAGCACGCTGGCAGATGCACGTGTTCCTGTCGCTGGCGGACTGACCCCAAGATACCAAATAACTAGGGGGCTTTAGAGTACTCTCCAGGAACCCTGGAATCAGCGACTGTACCCTTGCTTCCTTTCCAGGGCTGGCTTCCTCTTTAGAAAGGGCTGCCTTCCCAAAATTCTCCAGGCTTTGTTTCTCTAGCCTTAAAGCTGGGGAGTGGCTACATCCAAACCCACCTTTACCTCTGTTCAGTTTTCCTACACGGGCCAAACCCCATTCTTTCTCATACCCAAGGATCAAAAGAGTTGGTTCTTGGTAAGGTTTTTGACTCCTAGATAGTCAGAAAAGACAGAAACCAAATGTGATTCCAGGGTTTCTCCTGTCCCTAAGCAAGACCTGAGGTGACTTGATTTTTAAAGCCTCAGAATTATTTTAATTTGGTCATTACACTCTCCCTATGAGAAAGTCTTCAAATAAAAGTCACTATTTTATCATCCAGATAAAAATCACCCATAACACCTGGCTGCAGTTTTCTCTTGGAATTCAGGAAAGGACCAAAAGAACCAGAGGAATAATCGAGGCCTGCTTAGTCTGTTTTGTTAATGGACTGCATTTGGGTAATGGTAGGGAACTCCTGAGTTGAGAGCTTCCAGAAGGAACTGTGAAACACTCTCAAAGTTTGAAAGTTTACTCAACTCCTTTACTCCAGGTCCCTGCCTGTTCTTCTCTTCTATTTCTTATTTCTCTAGAAGCATTTTGCCTTTTGAAGACAGATGATTTCAAAGGTATGCCTCATGACTGTGTCTTTGCTAACCCAAAGTGTTTCACATAAAAATAAAGAATAAAATCTTTCTCATTACATATTGAAAGCTAACAGATAAATCTTATAATGAACGCGTTAGAACGCGAGAACCTGGAGGAATGAAATAAAAGCTAAGCCTGTTACAGGGTTGTGAAAGCTGATTGCACTGTTGTTGGGAATCAAACCTAGGGCCAATGAGTAACATCCTCAGCCTGTTGACGCTTTTTGAAAAATATTTTATTTATTATTTTTATTTTATGTGTACAAGCGTATTGCCTGCATGTATGCGAGTGCACCCATGTTGTATAATACCTCGGAGGTCAGAAGAGGGCATCAGATTCCCCTGGAACTAGAGTTAAGGACAGTTCTTAGCCACCATGTGGGTGCTGGGAATTGAACCCAAACCCAGGTCCTCTGCAAGAACAGTCAGTGCTCTTAACTGCTGAGCTATCTCTCCAACCCCAACTCTTGATTCCTCAAAAGAGTTAATTTATTTTTATTTTATGTGAATGAATATTTTTCCTGCATGTAAGTGCATCACATGTATTCAGTGCCCTCAGAAACAAGAAGAGGGCATCAGATCCTCTGGAGCTGGAGCTACAAATGGTTGTTAGCTGTCAAGGGGGTTCTGGGAGTTGAACCCAGGTCCTCTACATGAGCAGCCACTGCTCTTAACTGCTGGGCCATCCCAAAAGTTTAACATATATTATCTGTGTGTGAAAGGAGGATATTTGAAGTCAAATTTAACAGTGAGCATGTGTACTTGTTAGTGAGCATTGAAACTAATTTACATTCTTTTGACATCATTCTGACTGGGCTAGAGAAGAGCATTGCAGCTCACATAGAGCCATAGGCAACAGCACTAACATGAAAAACTTTAGTCTCCAGGGCCTGAAACAGGTGATCTTGAGTCATGCTGAGCATTGTTCATGTCACTGTACTGTCATAGGTATGTATCTCTGTCTTAGTTCCTAATGGTCCTGAAATGGGACTATTTTGGAACAATGCTATTCCAGTATGTTTATCCTCCAAAGTAAGTAAACTGAGGGCTGAAACTAAAAGGGAATTTTGCAGGCTCATTTCTTTTCCTAGGAAACCTAAGAGGCAAGTACTACAGCCAGGACTGACTTATCGACATTTGATGAAGAAGTGAGGGACTGTAAAGCTGTAGTTATGAATGCAAAGCTTCCAGAGCATCCTTTATGGTCAGTTCAGCATCATTCAAATCTCTGTGCAAACTGCCCCCTATGGCTTAGACCCTCTGCTACCAAGTTTAGAAGCTACAGAGGAGAGAGCAGCAGTCTTTTCAAAAGATTAAGGCATACCAGGGTGAATAACCTATGCTCACTTGTACTCTGAGAGGTCCTTTGAAATCTAGTTTCCCACTGAGACTCATTGCTCAGCTGCACCAGCTATGAAAAGACTAAAAGGCCATTCTGGGGAAGACAAGCCCTGGGGCTCTGGGCGGATGACTCAGAGCCACCAGAAGGTTATTTGAGCTCTGAGGTTACTTCTGGTCTCAGCAGCTCTGTCTCAGCAGGTGAGAAAGCATACATGCTGCCCTGCTTCCCCCAGGCTGTTCTTAATCACTGTCATTGGGCAGCAGGTCTGCGCTTATGCCAAGCCCTCAGCTGTGAGGCCAAGTCAGCTTTGCAGTTTCCTGTTCGTGCCCACTGAAGCATCCAGTGGAACAAGTGCATTTGAGTTTGTGCGTCTCAGGTATGCCTGTTCCTCCTCTGGCTTTGGAGCCACCTATCTGATGCTGCTCTACAATTCAGAAAGGTCTAGAAATATTTAGAATTAAGATTTGGCAGCTCTCTGATGACATTGTGGTATGTGACCTTAGCGAGCACCAGGCTTACTGGTATACATGGTCTGTAATTTGGAGCACTCTCACCTTTCAGAGATCTCTATAGCTGTGGCACTGAAGACAAAAGTCCTGCTCTTCCCGTTTCATTTCCCCCTGTGCGGTCCTGCCTTCATGGTGCTCGGTGTTCCTCTCTTCCACACTTCTACAACAGTGTGTTGGGATCATCAGACTCTGAAGTCAGTCATTTTGGTTTCTAACTCTCAGGAATGTCCCAGTGAAAGACTCATAAAAGCAAATCCTCAACAAAACACTAATAATAGCCAATATGACTCATCAGGATAGATTAGTGTTAGGCTATGGCAGTTGACTGTCACATTCAGACCTAAAGCCATTCTACTAAAGGTCATTGAGGATATCTGACTTGCCAAGCCAATAGCCTCTTTTCAGTCTAATTTTTCATGTCCTCTCTGCTAATTTAAAGATGTAGTATTGAGCTATCTTTAAAATACTGGTTAAAGGGCTGGAGAAACAGCTCCATGGTTAAGAGTTTGTACTTCTCTTGCAGAGAACTCGAATTCGGTTGCCAGCACCCATATCCAGCAGCTCACCACCTCTTGTAACTCCAACTCCAGGAGATCTGTTGCTGCCCTCTTCTGGCCCCCATGGGCACTGCACTAATGTGCACATCTGGACAGACACACATGCATACACATAAATAAAAATAAATCTTTAAAAAATAAAATATTGCCTAAGAAATCAATGTGTTTGTAATAATAAATTCAAGCTGCACAAAATGGTGCAAAATAAGAAGTTAAGGATCTGTCCACACTCCTGTTTCTAAGTCCCAGACATAACCGTAGGCTGATTTATTTATATTATTGTTCTTGCTCCTTTGAGAAATTTTCTTTAAAAATTGAGATTATATAATTTTTACTATACGAATGATATCATATTATACATATTGTCTTGTAACATTTCACTTTTTTTCTGGGACAAGGTCTCACTAAGATGCCCAGGCTGGTATTTAACTCACTCTGTCATCCAGGTAGACTTTAAACTTGCAATTCTCCTGCCTCAGCCTCCTGAGTAGCCGGGACTACACTGAATTGTAAAATGAGGGCCAATTCGGCTCATTTGGAGATCACTCACTCCTCAGAGCTTTTCCTTCCCTTTTTTACTGATGTTTCTCTTTCTTCTCTGATTACTCATCAACCTCTAGTTCAGTCTTTCGTTGTCTCTGTTTCCAGGGTTCCGGACTTCTGCCTTGTCTTTCTTTCTCTTCCATGCCCTTGCTCCTGTGTCTGATCTCCCCCCGTGGACTTTCAGCCACTGTGTTTTATGCAGCACCTCCCTGGTCTCTTGCTTTGGGGGTGTCCTCTCTTCTGAGCTCCAAGCCCATTTCCTCATTGTTAGTTGGACTTCCTAAATTCAGAACATTCATGTTATCTTTCAAAAATCCACTCTTTTACTTCTTTTCCTTCCTAAGCAAACGAAGTGATATTATTTGATTGCCACTCAACCTCCATGATCATAACTCTCACAGTCAAAACACTATTTTAGGGTTGGGGCTGCAACTCAATAGTAGACAGCCCATCTGACATTCATACGGTCCTGGGTTCTACTCCCAGAACTGCTCAAAAGAACCACAAATTCTTAGAAAGATGATATAGTAATAACTATTGCAGTTTTAAATGGTCAGGCACTTTGGTCATGTAAGAACTTTAGCTGCAGAATGCTGCAGAAAAGGTGAACAAAAAGTATATAAAGTGGATACATGTGAAACTATATTTACCTTTATTTAGAAGCATGTGAGCATCCTTCATATAGCAGTGTTGACAATAAAAAAAAAAGTCTTAGAAGGACTGTTCCATCAACAGGAGGTTGAGCAGATGATTGTGGTTTGGGCATCCACTGGGGTGCTGAAGACCTGGGTAAATAGCCAGTATGAGATGAAGCTAAAAGTTTTCAGCACTGACCTGGTTGTAAACACTTTAGTGTCTGTAGTAGTATTTGGCTATAAAATTGGCTCCAAATGATCTAAAATATACTTAATATTTAAAAAATTATCATTAAGATAAGCATACAAAATATAAAAGTTCTCTTCATGGAGCCCTTAAGAACACAGCTAGTGACGTGGTTTGAGAAATCATGTTTTAAGCCAGTTGCTCCTTTACTGTTGTCCAGGCACTGAAACTTAATGAAATACTTCTGTGTTTGTTA